CAAAAATGTTATTGAGATAAAAAAATATTTTTATTAGCTATCACAAAAAATATTACATCATTATTTCTTTTCACGGCTCTAAACCAAATGAAAAAACAAACCTAAATGTAAAATGTGAATAAAAAAGCGGACGGAGAAACTTTTTAATCAAAAACAAAACAAAACTGAGGAACGTGATTAATGAGAAAGGCTTTGTGACACTTGTACAGAACTCTATATTGTCTATTGTGTGTGTGTTTGTGTGTGTGTGTGTGTGTGTTTGTGTGTGTGTGTGTGTGTGTGTGTGTGTGTGTGTGTGTGTGTGCATGCTTGCACTTCCCATGACTTGGGGCCTTGAAAGGACACATAGTGGGATCTCCTGATAGCTCCTCCTCTTTAGTGAGGCAACAAAGGCTCCCACCATGTTGTTTGGTTAGTTTCGCTGTAAGCCCCCCCCCCCGTCCAGCGCTCCATCACACAGCAGCCAAACACAATCCAACAAACGCTGTCAGCCAGAGTCGGTCGCTAGACAACCAAGGTAGGCATCCTCGGAGATGAGCGGCAGTGCCCCGGGTCTTAAGGACCCCTGTCTGTGCTGTGGGTTGGCTACGTCCTGCCTGCAGAGAAGTGTGACAGAGGGACCTGACAGCTCTGCTGCCTTGCCCAAGGACACGCTGTCACCGGGGGATAATGCGAGCGGACTGAGCGGCCCCCGGCCATCAACAACACTGCTGCCCCCGCTGGACGATTAGAAAGAGCTTCCCAACAAAGAGGGGGCCAACAAAAGGCCCATGTTAAATTAGGCATTTAATTCATCGCTCGGTCACAAGGGCAAAGTAATCAGAGGGGAATCGTTCAAACACATTAGAAGGACAAGCAGAGACAGTGTCAGAGGAACCACAGAGATGACTTCAGAGAAATACTGACCTCTACTCACACTGAGAAATGATTGTACCTGCAGCAGAGGATCAAGGATGTATTACAGGTGTGAGGAGATTAGATTTACATTTGAAAGGATGTTTGAGAAACGTCGGTTACACTTTTGGATCTCTAAAGGTCCTTACACTTATTCCAGAGGCTGGGGATGAAAAAACGTCATATAACACACACACACACTTTCAGATGAACTGGTTTATCGCCCTTTTAATCTTCATTATTGCTGTTTATTATTGTTGAAGCTACAAGAATAAGGACAGTCATGGTTAATTGTTGTATCTTTATGTTCTTGTAGCTCAATGTTAAAAGCACCTGCCTCTAATCGGGACCGGGAGTTATCGTTTATCTTTTCTTATTCCAGCTTTTTCCTGCTGACATCGACATTTTGAGTGATCTGAACATTCCTTCATGTGACAAGTGACACTTAATCATTGTGTTTGTTAATCTTAACTCTGCTGACGGGACAGAAGAGAGAGAGAGAGGGAGGGAGGGAGGGAGGGAGGGAGGGGATGTATGTGCATGACGTGTTTTTTGTTTTTATTTCATGTTGATTAATTGCAATTATTTAATTTAAAGTTTGTTTTTATTTAAAAAGGGACCTTATTTAAATACCATCTCCAAACTCAAATCACAGCCATGAGGACAAGGCAAGTTGCATTTGTTGTGGATCTAAGGCCTAAAATTATTCTCAATACAGACGTTACTTCTGCTCTTGTCAACTAAATATCAAAACCTAGATGACGTGTATTTCCAGTGATGTGTGAACGATGCTTGTGCAAACAAAACCAACAGCAGAGCAGGACGTGGTGCCCAGCAACACAACGATAAGAACATCACTGTAAAATGACAAAAATGTAAAATTAACGTGTGAGTCAGAAGCTGCCGTGTGTCGTCACGTGACCAGAATCAGTCTGTACCTGGCAACCTGTTGAAACTTGTAATCTCCTGCCGTGTGTCACATTACACACGCAGCGACACTCCTCAGGACGCCAGCGGTGCTTCGTTTCCCAGCGTGAGGCCTTGAAGAGCTGAACTACGCCTCAGCAATAAAAAAAAATAAAAAAATTTTAAACACAGGATTTATGACACAAGCTTGAGAAATTGACATCAATGAAGTCATCTGGCGTGCACCCGTTTCCTCAAATCACAGCTCCTGCAGTGCTGGTTTTGAAAACTCTGAATTTGCAGTTTTTGTTATTTTATGATTTAATTACAAGTGTAAAACTCTGAGGTATTGCAGGGGTGGGATGGTGGGGAGGGGGGGTTAAAGGAGAGCTGCTCTCTCAGCGCTTGTTGAGTGGAGGATAATTATAGGGAGGGACAACCTTGTCAGAGTCAAAGGAATTCACTCTGATTTGTTCAAGAGTGAAAGGATTCCTTGTAAGCCTTAAATAAATTTTAATTGCAGTAAGCTGTCTAACACAAGGGGACCCCCGCACCCCTCCCCCAAGTCCCTCCAGAACCCTGGAAACTTTGATTAGACGACAGAAGGGAATGAAGGGGGGATATTAAAGAGCCACAGGGGTCCCCTGATCCAAAAACATGCACACCTACACTGCAGCACAGCAGCTCAACACATAACGTCAAAGCGATGCGTTATTTCAACAAAGGAAACACAACACACAGACCGTTTTATAGACGAACCAGAAAACAATGAGTGTAAAGTTGTGTGTAAGAACAAACTCCGAGGTGAATTAATGAGAAGACGAAACCTAATTGAGACATGTTGGAATGCATGTTTCCAATATCCTCTGGGGGAAAAAAAGAAAAAAAAACGCCTCCCATGCCCTCATGTCTAACTTGTCAAGTCATGTTGTGGTATTTACAGGTTTGATTTTTTCAGTTTTGTTCCTGTGGTTCATTTAGTGTAAACCTCCAGTGTCTGTGTGTGATCACTGATTAAATATAAATATAAGTCACTGCTAAAATCAATTATATCGATTTATATGCAAAGTGGATATGAATAATAATAGATGTGGTTTTATTGTGGCAGTATCACATCCTGCCAGGACCGCTATACAATCTGATGTAATCTTACAATTTAAATATATAATTACAAAAGTATATAAAAGTAAATGTATGGCAGATCTGATGTATTACAGTTATTATTAAACTGCCCACTGAGTTTATGTTACCTTGTTCCTCTGGCCGCTGGATTCATGCATTAAGGTATAAGAAGAACACATAAAAGCAAATGATGTCGCGCCTTGTGTCCTTTTCGATGAATTGCTCCATGTGCAGATAAACTTGTGTGAACATTTAATTCATGTTGATAACTACAGTTTACTTTTAATGGCTGAAACCTAAAGTCCTCTCTCCCACACAAACTCACTGACCACCTGTCAAAGTCACATTCACTCTCAGCAGCATTAACTTGCTATATATCACTGTTCTTAGTTTTCTTTCTAGAGTTTAGTGGAAATCTGTCTCTGCGTTAGGAGTTATTGTTGCACACACACAATCACACACACAGTGGTGAACACATTGTGTACATATAGATTCAGATGTTTTCTCATATCCCTTTATTAATAAAAACACTTTATTTGATTTGTTTTCATTTTGGTACTAAACGTCTTAAACGCGACTACATTTTTGAACTGAGGTTAACACAAGTGCTCCCGGGGATAAAAGTACAGGCCTAAGCATCGAGCCCTGCTGATTCTCAAAGTTTCTTCTGAATCTAATCAAACTGTGGCTGGAGGAGGTTTTGACTGAAGCCACTTCCCACTGTTTTCATCAGGGAATTAAGTGGAAAGCACACTCTGGACGCCCCGGCCTCTCTACATGTGTATGCCCTGGAGAAATGGGCCAGTAAAAGTTTTTAAATGAGCACCAGACAGGTGTCAGCAGTCTTTTAGAAAGACAAATCTGTCCGTGGCATTCGATACTTTCCCTGCAAAGTACAGAAGGAAAGCGTCTGGGCGGACAGGGACAGAGATAGTGATAGATGGATGGAGAGAGCGAGGGAGGGACGTCTTGAAGGGAAATGATTACCTACACACTGTCTATACTTTCACTTTCATTCTCCATCAACGTCTTTTCACTTCTTCTGACAGGCGCCTATGGGACATGATTGAGTAACAGCACATTTATTAATTTAATCAATCTTACATTTCAGTTGTATTAAATGTTTCTTGGCTCGTAATAACTTGGCAAACCAAACCTGTACACGTACAATAACGTAGTGAACGGACTGAATGACACAACGAGTGGGACAGTTTGAAACTTTATGACTTAAAGAGACGCCCTTATTTTCTTTTTCGACCAGAGTTTTGAGACCCCCGCACAAGTCGCAGCCTGCTGCTGCTGCTGGGTGCTCGGGCCCGGAGGAGGGAAAAGGGCCGATAATTGAGCTGGAAAGAATGGAGGGAGGGAGTCACGTTCCCACAATGAGTCCAAAACAAAACTCCTGCTGTAACTCTCCTCCCTTTTCCACTGTCTCCTGCCTCAGACATCCAGGGAGGACGTCCAAGAACATTTGGGAGAACCTCGACCAAATGTGAAGTGGAGTGGTTTAACATTTCCTGCTTATTGTAGTCAGTGTGTGGCTGATAGTTCATTAAGTCGGTCATTACATGTTCAGCTGCCTTTGACATTTACTTAAATACCAAAGCACAAACCTCCGCCAAGGTCCGACAATCTGCACCACATTTCATACTCATGACTGTTTATTTATTCAAGACCCATGAATCTCTGAGAAAATCAAGGAAAATGTTGAAAAACGCACAAAAATGTCATGGATTCTTCATGATTCTTCAATTCTTTATTCCCCTCCACCACGCTTTGTTGGAAAAAAAAAAAGTTGTTTTTCTGTTCTCCTGCTCACTAACTAACTAACTAAATAACTAACTAACTCAATAACTAACTAACTCAATAACTAACTACCTTTAATTAAAATATTCTTGGTAGAGACAAAATGTCAATAACATGATCCTGGATTTAAAAGGGAAATCACAGTAGAGAGCTTTCATATAGACACATTTAGTAAATTGAACAACATAACTGAGCATCAGTGATTGTCTTCAGGACCTCAGTCATCAAAGCAAACAAATTAAAAGTCATTAGTTAAAAAGTTTTGCTGGAATTTAACTTTTCCAACCATTTCTTTTTTTTTCAGTATGACAGACAAATGATTGAGTTTAGGGAGGAACAGTCTAATTTAAAACTGTGAACTTTGCTGGTCAAGGTGGGACGATCTCGGGGGAGACGGCCCTCGAGGCGGCCGCGGTGTCGGCTGATTGATCTGAGCCTGTCAAAGGTCCCGGGGCAGCTTCGTCTGATGGTCGGCGGCGGCTCTGATGGCTCAGCAGTTTCTCTGAACAGACGGATCATTCTGCAGGAGCTGCTCCGCTCTGCAGGGTCACAACCTGCGCTGGACAGGAAACACCCTGCCGGCTCTCAGTCACTCACTTGAAGACTTTCTGCATCTGATTGAATGTTATCTCTGTCGGAATCTCTCTCACCACTTCCCCTTCATTTCATTCATGTGGGTTTAAATGGTCGTGAGACACCTGGTGACTTTTTAACAGCTATGAATTAAACCCCTTGTTACTGTAATTCTACCTACAACTGTGCAGCTGTCAGTGCAGATATAATCATGTATTCAGCTGAAACTATTATCTTAATGAATCTAAACTAACAATTGACTGATTCATTGTTTTGTATATAAATGGAGATATCAGGAAATAATTAGAAATGTCTAGCACAGTTATTCTTGAGTCTTTGGTAGTCGTGTTAGTCTAAATCAAGTTTTGTTTAAAGAAATCCGTATATTTAAACTAAATGTGAAAATAATCCCATTAAAGTATCAGGGTAAAATTTCTTTCAACAAATTCCTGTTTGGAAAGATTACTCTATGATTGCCGAATCCGACTCGGCTGAAAGTACCAGGGCTCGTGAAGTTCAACAGCTCAGATCGTGCAGAGCTGCTGATGAGATGCTCAAGAACGCAGAAGAAGAAGAAAGGAGGAAGCGAAGAGGAAGAGCGAACCACAGGCGTCTCTGTGGAAAGACTTAACCTGCCTCTGGCTTGATCCCCTCCACAAAGGAGAGCTTTGACGGGCTGATGCACCGGCTTGTAATGAATATCACCGACGACATCTTCACACCTCCTCCTATGCATCAATGAAACAACACAATTGTTCTGTCAACAGATACTCTGCAGTATAAAGGCAGTTCTGAGAGAAGTGTGTCTTCGCTCATATGTACACGAGCTCGATGGATATAAATAGATTTAAAGAAAATAAGGCAAAAAAAAAACCACATATATATCCGACAGGAGCTTTTAATTTCTATGCAGCGGTTTTCAGACCTGAACGCTGGACAATGTCTGAAAAATAGGGGGACAAACATTTTGTTAGTCTTTCAAATAAATTCTGGTCTGAGTCGGACACGTTCAGGACAACAGGGTTACTCCCAAAACATTCAGGCACGAGTTGGAATCTGAGGAGAGCAGGAGGCAGGACATGATGTTTAAAATCTATAATGTCTTGTTGTCTTTCCAAGTCGTCTGCGTCTTCTACCTGTGTGTCCCTCCGGTCTCATGTCCACCGCATGTTCCCAGTGAATCTTTCATCTTTTCCTGCTGTATTGGGATCACTAAGACATTTAATTGTGGCAAATGTTCTTTGTACCCCTCTAGAAAAATTCAGGAAAGTGTCCGGACCTACTTGTACTTAGTGCCTTTACTACCAGCTCCTCTTTAACGTTATAACTGCAGATGTTGGGTTCAGTTCACCACGTTCTGTGATGATCATCCTCCCTCCTCGCCTCACGTGAGGCTCCTTAATGGCCGAGGTATTTTTCACTCGTGCAGTCAGGATGGCAGCGGTGTTGTTCCTCATTATCACAGGCAGCTGTTGCTGCAGGGATAACCTCTGATCCCTCTGAACTGTCGGAGGGCCGCGTCTTAAACTTGAGATCTTCATTGACACGGTCCACGTGCAGGTATCAGCCAGGACGCTTTGCCTTTGTAATGCTGAGAAAATGTACAGTAGATTTTTTGAAAAACTATCCAGATGATATGTGTGCTGTTGTTTGTTACATGTTGAAAATGTCTTTCCTCGTCTCAATCCAAAGTTAAAAATATCAGATAAAGCAAAAAAATATACAAAAATGCAGCAGGACAGTAAAGCTCTGAATGCAGACCTCACCCTCATGTCCTGGTTAGATCAAAAGAACCTGAGGCTATCTCTCTCTCTTTTTTTCTTTCTTTAACAAAAGCAACTTGTTCCATGAGGCACAATTAAAGAGTGGGAGGAAGGAAGATTACACACAGGCTTTACAGGCACCTCCACATGACTCAAGAGCAGACTATCCAGCAGCTGGTAAAATTATCCACCTTTGTCACGAATGTTCAGAGTCAATCTTTTCTCCTGTAACGCAGCCACCTCCCCCTCCTCTCGCTCGGCTGGAATACCTCAGCGGGGGTCACATAAAGTCACGGGGAGATTGAAAATAGTTCTGACGTTTGGGCAAAGTGAAAAAAAGGGGGTGAGTCTGGCTGCTGTCAGGACAGATGAAGCCACAACAGCCTTCAAAAGTCAGGAACATCGAGCACAGCATGTTAATGTTAAGGAATTGGGTAATAACTTTAACACATGACATCTTACCACTTTCCATCACGTACGCAACTTCAAAGGGGGAATATGGTTTTTGTTGATGGGCCCATAATTCAGTTCTCCTCTACAGCAGGTCAGATTTCATTGGACAGGGCAAAGAGAATAGAAACCAGATGATAAGAGGCCGGGGCCCCAACCTCGGGCTGAGCTTTCACTTCAGGCCTGCAGGTTGCCGGGTCGATTCCTGACAGGGGAGAACACAGGAGAAAAAAAAAAAATCACAAATGGGTGGTTCCCAACAGGACCCCTCCATCAACACCACCTGTCACATTCCAGTGTGGATCTTATATCTAATAATTCCAGAAATCTTTGTCTGTCTCTGTGTCTCATACACACACACACACACACACACACACACACACACACACACACACACAGATTGAGGATTTGTTTCCCCACTTTCTTTAACATTGTGAGAATTTCTTTGAAATTACTTTAAAATTCTGCCGAAAAACATTTTAGGGGACTGATATCCATGAGTGTGTTATTTACTCACATTAATTATAAAACAGTTCTATTACTTTTAGCTACTTCAGCAGTTTGTAAAATATATAACATTACATATAACTATTTCCGTTTTGCATCCTCACTCCATTACAACATATGGCTTATACAAACAATAAATTAACTAAACATTTAAATGGCATGAAACTGTAATTCTATATGATGATTATTTTGTTTCTTAACATAACTTCGCTTTTCTTTCAGTAGAAGTAGCCTCAACATGTCCGAAGAATTTGAAGGGATTTCGGAGCAAATCTTACATTTTTCCCACGACTGCAATTCCATAATTATATTCTGCATCGCTCAGCTCTTCTATTCCGTCGTCAAACTGCTGATTTTCTCAGTGTAATTGTGTGCATGTTTTGTTTGCTCCAGTGGCACAGTTACTCCATATTTTACTGAAAACACACGCAGCCTCTAACACATGCCATCCCACACATGACTGCAGGCAGGAGGGCAACAGGCTTGTGTGAGCCATCCGTCCCATCTCACTCTGCAAACGCCAGAGGGATTTCCACAAAGCAAACACTGGTTAGCCTCGCTATTTAGTGTGGAGAGCCACCGCAGCCAACAAGTTCACTTCCAGAAAACTCAGTCAGTCTGCCCCTGATAGGGCACCAGTGTGAGTCTGTGTGTGTGTGTGTGTGTGTATAATCCATATGATTCTACACTGGCCCAGATAACTTAAGCAATGAATAATTCACTGGCACTGATCCAAACTGGATGTGGTTTGACTCTTTGCTGTAGATTTTCTCCCAGCGGGGGGATGGTGGTTTTACTATCGATTACAGTGGCGAGAGCTCTGCAATCTGAGATCCTCAGTGATTCATCCATGCTATGCCTGCATGCCTGACTGCTTCTCATGTTCTCCTGCAATAATCACCATGCAGATGGGGGGGGGGGGGGGGGGGGGATACCCTCACATGTCTATTGTTGCCGTTTCCCCGCCTGTTGTCAATTGTTTCATATTGTTGGAGGAATCCACGATCAGCTGTAAGATTTTTAAAAATTAAAGATGTCAAGAGCCGAGCGTTTTAAAACAGACATGGCTTATTTACTACATACTGCAAAAGTTACTTTTGCTCTGCAACTGTTTAAATGCAGCTGTTTGCAATGTCCTTTGCATTTCCTGAGGACACTGAGTGTTGTACTTTTCCCACGCATAAGTTAGACGATGTGATGTCATGCGGACATATTTCCAATGCAGTTTTGATGGAGTTTAACTGCAGAGCATTTTCCTTGATTTAAAACATCTGCACCAAGTGTCGGGTTTATCCTCCAGAACTAAGCCAGTGGGGGGGTTATGTATAGAGTCACCATTTTTACTTTTACTTATAAAAGGGTGAGTCACGGTTAAGCAGGTGAGATTTAAAATGTAACAACATCGTTAGCTTCGGTCAGCCAGAATTAAAAACAGACACGCAGCAATTTGAGTGACAGACGCGGCCACAGTCACAGCGACGTTCCAATATTTGTAAATTAAATCTTACATTCAAGTGCACCAAATTTCACCACTCATATCCCTAAATATCCCTGATAGTTTCCCATCAAGATCCATTCATTACAGAGCAGGTGCCATACGGAGGCTTGAGCTCTCCTGCACAATGCAAAATGATCTTTAAAAAGATCCATGCGTTATTCCAAGGGGAAATTAGTGAAAGAGAAAGAACGTCCTGTGTAGAATGTGACAAAAAGAGTTTTAATTAAAAAGGTTCTTTCTTGGTCCATATCTTGTCCTTCCACCGACTTAAGTGAAATGGAAAGATAACCTCCTCCACTCTACCTCCCTTGACGAGGATACAGAAATCTGAGAGCAGGTTCAGACAACAGTGGATCTGCAAACACTATATTGGGTGTTTTTTGCATGGACATGTTCCATACATGCCCACTAGAAGTTAACTTGGCAACACCGTCATGCTTGTAGCTGTGTACAGTCAGAAGTATTTTGATTTAAATAGTTTATAACAGCTTCATCAAAAAGGGACAACAGGAACAGTATGTTTCTTCTTTCTTTTTTTTTACTGTCTCAGCTCTGTGATTGTTGCTCTGTTACCCTCAGCACCAAACTGCTCTTTAACTGTTTGAACAGTTTTTTAAATTGGGGATTATAATCTGACAACAACAAATGCCAGTCCAATACAAAACAATTTAAGAGTTTATCTTATTTTATTCTTTTTCAGATTGTGTGTTTTTGTGCTGAATTGTGATGTGACCATGTGAAATGCTGCGGCTCTGTAACTGAGGTTTTTAAAAAAAAAATTATTTCTCTTTCAGTGAGAGCGTTCACTTTTACATCGCTCATTAGAGAGCACAGAGTGAGTAACCCCCAAAGAAATGTCAGTTGCTGCTCTGTGAAACAGTCATTCACGGGGCATTCTTTGATTGCTCATTGGACAAATTGACATACAGCGAATAAAAGGGGCTGTTACTCACAATCACACACACACACACACACACACAGACACACACACACACACACACACACACACACACACAGAGCGTCCCGTTAGTGTACAGGCCTCTTATTGTGCAGCTCAGCCATCTGTCTCTCAGCAGTAGGTCCTTGTTACCTGTTGTACTCTTTCTTACTCTGCTCATTCACCAGTCCCGTCTCAGCGCCAGCACTCCCTTTCTGCCATCTCCCTCAGTAAAGACTTACTCAACTAAAATTCCTCACAGACAGAGGGATCCAAGTGTCTCACACTCTGACAAAGACTGGAAGAGAGAGGATCCTCTCCGTGCTGCTTGTTTGAACTCTTTAAGTTATTAAAACTTCCAACCTCTCTGATTTGATCTGTGTAAATCAACGCAGGAGCTGGATTCTCCGAGCCAGCTAGGATTTCAAATGTAAGCCACGTCGCTGCCGGAGCCTTTGGCAGTGGGCGAGGTGGATATTGAGAGCGACTGGGGACAGATGCTTCTCCTTAGAGCGTGGGGAGGTGGGGTCTGCCCGTGGCCCCTGCTCAGATGAGATGCTAAGTTTACATTGCGCCAGTCTGCAACAGTCTTAGAAGTCAGTTGGATGTCCAGACTCGCGCCATATGGAGTCAGTTAGGAGCGGAGCAGAGCGCCTCGGGCCCTCTCTGTCTCCGTACGGGACCAGCAGCGAGCAGTCGCCTCAGTGAGACGCTTTCCAATCGCTGCAGGCAGCATAAAGCTTCAAAAGATTACAGTCAAAGTTTATGTTTTTTGGACGTGAGAACAAAAAGCTGGCATCCAATAAGGATGAAAAGGATTCCTGAGTAGGTGCTTTACCCATTAAACCATCGCAGTGTGGTGAAATTTGGATGGAGGTTAAAATTAAGGTTTCATTCAGTGGCTTGGTGCCATTTATACAAGCACGTTAGAGCTATTTATGTAAAGAATATATATACACCGACAGAACTGCACATACACATATCGCGGTTTGGCTGAACTTGAGTTCTGCAGTTCGATGCCTATTTTCTATTATTGTAACTCTCTAAACACAAAACAGAAAAGCAGCTGTGGTGTGTGTGTGATGTTCTTTCTAACAACCCTCTGTTAACTTTGCACCTAATGGCGGCGTCATCATTGAATAACAGGAAGTTAATTTTCCTGTTCCTAAACTACCCAACCTTTTCTGACCGATGACCTCTCGCAATAAGGGGTCAGGGCCAATTATAAGCAGGCTGCTAATAGTGCTTCAGTGAGTCCAGATGTCGTTGGCCTCCATTAGCTAAAGTAAATGAGTCCACATACATCTGAAGAGAGAGAGAAACATGGCCTGACACTTCATTCTGCTTTCTGCACCAGTTCTAATACATGATGTTGTATTTCTGACACATTTCAATGTTTGTTGGTTTGGATCGTTTCTACTTCAGCTTAATACAAAATTCACATTTGTGGATTTAAACTGCATCGTTGTGACTGAAGTATTCCTCTCCTCCTCTATGAATCAACCACCCTTGTTCAAACGCATACTTCTGCTCCTGCTGAAGATAATATGAGGCCTCAGCTGAACATGTCAGTCATTCCAGGTACACACGTTCCAAAATTACAGTGCGCAGAGATAAATTATGTGGATTTTGAATTCAGTGAAAACTTTCTCAGAAGGATGTATTTCTATTTCAGCTGGTCCTGATAATCGTATGTGTAAAAAGTTTTGGACGTACTTCCTCCAGTACATTATGATCAATATATGGTAAATTAACACAAATCATTGTATTGACCAGTACTCGGAAACCTAACCTGAAGTGAGAAAGAGCGAGGAAGACCTGCAGCGAAGGGCCCAGTCCGAACCCAACCTGCGGCTGGATCTCTCTGTAGATCTCTGTGTTCGCTCTGCACCAACTCCTGACAGGAACATTTAAATGTTTAGCTACTTAAAGCTCCAATATGGGAGCGGCACAGTGGTAAAGTGGTTAGCACTGTTCCCTTACAGTAAGAAGGTTCTGGGTTTGAACCTGACAGCCTTTCTGTGTAGCATTCGTTTTGTGTCTGTGTGGGCTTCCTCCCACAGTCCAGAGACATGCAGGTTATTTGGAGACTCTAAATTGCCCATAGGTGTGACTGTGAATGGTTCCGTGTCTCTATGGCGACATGCACACACAAGCATTTGAATCCCTGTCCATACTAAACACACCAAACAGATAATAATGGCTCATCTCCTACGTGTTTAAGTTGTTGTATCATTGCAAAATACAGAATTGAACAGTGCAG